TGAACGGTTTAGAGAAATATTTCCCACAGATATGACATGAATGAGACATGTTTACTCTATGACGAATAGTTAGATAATAAATCTCTCAAATAGAAACCAAGTTTATATAACTAGTATCTCGTAGCCAACTCCCTAGTCTCGGACCCAAGCTCCTTAGGCTCGGAGCTCCTTAGGCTCGGAGCCAGCTCCTTAGGCCCGGAGCAGCTCCTAAGGCTCGGAGCCAGCTCCTCTGGCTCGGAGCCGAGTACCTTAGCCTCGGAGCCGAGCTCCTTAGGCTCGGAGCCAGCTCCTTAGGCTTGGAGCCTGCTCCTTAGGCTCGGATCCAGCTCCTTAGGCTCGGAGCCGAGCTGCTTAGGCTCGGAGCCGAGCTCCTTAGGCTCGGAGCCGAGCTCCTTAGGCTCGGATCCAGCTCCTTAGGCTCGGAGTCAGCTCTTTAGGGTCGGAGCCGAGCACATTAGGCTCGGAGCCGAGCTCCTTGGGCTTGCAGCCAGCTCCTTAGGCTCGGAGCCAGCTCCTTAGGCCCGGAGCCAGCTCCTTAGGCTCGGAGCCAGCTCCTTAGGCTCGGAGTTGGCTCCGAGCTGCTTAGGCTCGGAGCCTTGTCTAAATTGCTTTCTCTCTTCCGATATAAGCTTCCTTATTGTTGTGTTTTACTCATTTGCTTCCAAACCGTCGAACAGAAATTATCAATCTTCTAAGGCGCAAGCCATTTCTTGAATTGTTGGGCACGTCTGAGCCTGATCAACAACAAGCACTACTGGAAACAGCAACCGCCGGGCAAGTACACTGCCTGTGTCTCTGTGTAGAAAACGTTATGAAAAGAAAATATTTAATGTCGAAGCATATAATGAAGAAACTCCGACCTTACAGACATGAAATGCTTAGGTTGGTAGATAGAGGAAAATGTGGAAGAAGAAAAAAACGGATACTCATTCAGCATGGTGAAGGTTTCCTTGGACTATTACTAAGTCCTATTTTGGAAAGCCTGGCTGAACTTGTATAAAAGCCCTGTGACTACAAATTATACATCATTTCAACAATGAACATTCGAGAGTAAAACATCTCCGCGACATTGGCGCATTGAAGATATACTTTTCTATCTGAACAATAATGTCAAGAAAACTACAGCAGAAAAAATGCTACATTCTATTCTTATATCAAGTGATATTTTAACTTGGAATCCTCAGGGTGAGATTGTTGATGATGGAAGAGACATTCCTGGTACTAACATCGAGAACTTTTTACAGTACGCACTTTTACCATACAACTCTCGCATTCCTGAACCACGAGGGCACGACCTGTTTACAAAAGGTCTAGTAGAAGCAGGGGTTAATAAAGTTTTAATTAAAAACGAGTATTTATTATCAAAAATGGCAAAGGAGGAACATGAAATGCCACAATCTGAGAGTGATGTTGAAAGCGAATCTGGTGAAGAGAACAGGGAATCTGACAAAGGTGATAATGAAAGCGAATATGATGATAATGAGCATGATGATAATGAGGATGATGGTGAGTCCGAGAAACTAGCTTGTAACCATTGTGGAAAGAGACTGGTCACATTGTGTACTTAATGAAGTGCCCAAGATGTTCGTGGAATGATTTCCACTGGGGCAAAGACGCTCAATGTATGATATGTGATGAACAGTCACCTCTACTGTTTTTGCACGTCATTGGTTTCTGCGAGCTATGTTCGTATGGTACATCTAACACCAAGACGGGTGGATTGGAGTTCACACCAAAAATTGACAAATAAAAGACCCAGCAGATTGGACCGAACGTGACCTAGCGCGAATGACTCCGGAAGCAAGAGAGGATTATGAACGTTTTATATTGAGCGATAGACCGAAATATATTCCAATGAAGCCGGAAAAACTTGCAAAGTTATCTCCAGAAGATAGACAAGAATATGAGAACTCTTTAAAAATAACAAAAACACCTAGACGTTACGCTCTTAGAAGTAGACCTTACTAAATTTTGTAAAACATTTTGAAGAAGTAAATGTATTCTAAAACTGAAATATTGTGCAAACATTTACCTGAAAAGCCCGCTCTTTCCGCCCGCGCGAAAAGATCCGTGTACAAATATGTTGTACTTTAACATATGCATGTACCCGCAAAGCCACGCGCCTGATTTTAAGGTATACACCTGCGTTAAAAATAATCCCTATCTTTCCATCGGGATACACTTAGTTATGCAAATTCGTATTACCTTAATCCCCTTAATTACCTACACGCCTCCTAATTACTTTGCCCCCGTTCGTTTTCGTTCATCATGAGGCAGTCATGTTGTCTTTGACTAGGATGACCGACTTGACAACCATTACAGGATTCCACACAAAGTCTTTCAACTTTTGGCTGCAAAGCGCACCTGTCTTGTCTAAATCGCCTTCTCTCTTCCCGCACGGATAACCCGCGACGCCCGCGCAATGAATGTCCTAATCTACCCGTATTTATCCACACAGTAGAAAAATGCAAATCTCTGATAAAAGTTAATCCTTCAATTAGAGTCACCCTAACAACACATAGCAACCGGTGTGCTTCAATATAGCTTAAATTTATTAACCTTATCCGTGTTTTAGTACTTTAAAAAACTAGCAATAAAATATAGAAATCGCTTGACAATTATATATCATAACCTCTAATTTCCATGTGTTTATATAACTCTAAACAGCTGTACACTCCGAATATATAAGTTTCGGATATATAACACTAATGCGTAGTCAGCAAGTTTCGCCCCATCGTGTTTAAGCTCGCCCGCGTGACGTCATTGCATACAATTATGACGTATGTTAATGAGTAACGTCACTACGCACCCTCCTCATTTGTACGAGTGTTAATTAGCGCACCCCCAACATCCTTACGCACCCTCATTTGTATGAATATTAATTAGCGCACCCTTACGCACCCTTAAAAATAAGACCCGAACGGCCCCTATATTACTACTAACTTAGATGTTTATGACGTCGATATTCGACGTCATAAACACGATCAACTTAGGTGTTTATGACGTCGATATTGGACGTCACAAACAGGATCAACTTAGCTGTTTATGACGTCGATACTCGACGTCATAAACACGATTAACGTTGGTGTTTATGACGTCGATATTCGACGTCATAAACACGATCAACTTTCGTGTTTATGACGTCGATATTCGACGTCATATACACGATCAACTTAGATGTTTATGACGTCGACGTCATAAACACGATCAACTTAGGTGTTTATGACGTCGATATTCGACGTAATAAACACGATCAACTTTGGCGTTTATGACGTCGATATTTGACGTCATAAACACGATCAACTTAGATGTTTACGACGTCGATATTCGATGTCATAAACACGATCAACTTAGATGTTTACGACGTCGATATTTGACGTCATAAACACGATCAACTTAGATGTTGACGACGTCGATATTCGACGTCATAAACACGATCAACTTTGGTGTTTATGACGTGGATATTCGACGTCATAAGCACGATCAACTTAGATGTTTATGACGTCGACGTCATAAACACGATCAACTTAGGTGTTGATGACGATGATATTCGACGTCATAAACAGGACCAACTTAGGTGTTTATGACGTCTGCGTCATAAACACGATCAACTTCGGTATTTATGACGTCGAATATCGACGTCGTAAACACGATAAACTTTGGTGTTTATGACGTCGATATTCGACGTAATAAACACGATCAACTTTGGCGTTTATGACGTCGATATTCGACGTCATAAACACGATCAACTTAGATGTTTACGACGTCGATATTCGACGTCATAAACACGATCAACTTTGGTGTTTATGACGTCGATATTCGACGTCATAAACACGATCAACTTAGATGTTTATGACGTCGACGGCATAAACACGATTAACTTTGGTGTTTATGACGTCGATATTCGACGTAATAAACACGATCAACTTTGGCGTTTATGACGTCGATATTCGATGTCATAAACACGATCAACTTAGATGTTTACGACGTCGATATTTGACGTCATAAACACGATCAACTTAGATGTTGACGACGTCGATATTCGACGTCATAAACACGATCAACTTTGGTGTTTATGACGTGGATATTCGACGTCATAAGCACGATCAACTTAGATGTTTATGACGTCGACGTCATAAACACGATCAACTTAGGTGTTGATGACGATGATATTCGACGTCATAAACAGGACCAACTTAGGTGTTTATGACGTCTACGTCATAAACACGATCAACTTCGGTATTTATGACGTCGAATATCGACGTCGTAAACACGATAAACTTTGGTGTTTATGACGTCGATATTCGACGTAATAAACACGATCAACTTTGGCGTTTATGACGTCGATATTCGACGTCATAAACACGATCAACTTAGATGTTTACGACGTCGATATTCGACGTCATAAACACGATCAACTTTGGTGTTTATGACGTCGATATTCGACGTCATAAACACGATCAACTTAGATGTTTATGACGTCGACGGCATAAACACGATTAACTTTGGTGTTTATGACGTCGATATTCGACGTAATAAACACGATCAACTTTGGCGTTTATGACGTCGATATTCGACGTCATAAACACGATCAACTTAGATGTTTATGACGTCGATATTCGACGTCATAAACACGATCAACTTTGGTGTTTATGACGTCGATATTCGACGTCATAAACACGATCAACTTAGATGTTTATGACGTCGATTTTTGACGTCATATGCACGATCAACTTAGGCACGCCTGGCATTTTTGCGTGCGAAAACGCTAGTTCGCCATTCATTATGACCTGCGGTATTCTTCAAAAAATGTTGCGTACGCATATTTAATTTGACAAGATGGCGGCCGTTCAAAATGGCAATTTTTGTCTTGACGAGGTCTTAAATCAAGATATTTTGAATAATAACTGCGTCGAACGGCCGGTAGATTATTTGCAGAAAGTAATGGAGGCCATTGGTAGCTTCACTCGGGAGAAAAGCTGCCAAAACGTGTCGCGTTTTTCGTGGATGAATGTGCCGAGCAACTTGAAACTGTACTCGAAGCTCATGATTCTCTGGATTAAATGTGCTACGGGAGACGACTAATTCCATAAATCCAGCGCCAATATTACAAAGGGAAGCTCTGCTGTGGCTGGCAGGAATTCGACGGCGGATAGGGGGCAAAACGAGCATCAGAAACCCATATTTATTTACTCAGTTTATCATGTTTTCAATAATCGTAAGAAACGTTCGGGGTTTATACGGATTTGTTGAACCATTTTGTTTTCACAGTGATTTCAAGAAGGCTATTGTTATTTATTTTACTTTGATGCGCTTTGTCAACGAGTTATTTGCTTTATTATCTGGTTTGTCCAAGGATGTTGTGCCTGGCTACTTTGAGCAAAGTTTTTCAACTATATATGGATTGGATAGTGGAATGTCAATGGATTTCCTCAGCATGTTTGCTAGTAATGTCCGAAATATTATAATCCATAAAAGTATAGTCAGGTTTATTGTAACAGTTGTGAAGATGTATTCTCTCAATCTCTCTCAGCATTCACATTATTAATTATTATCAGAGCTAAATTGCTGATAAATATTGTGATTTTCAAATATGGCAGTCACTTCCTCATTGGAAGTGATTGAAGCTTTGCAAGTCTGCCATGAGCTGGAGGGGTTTACGTCCTCTTAGAGAGAATCTTTATAGCCATAAAAAGTGTATTGGCTGCCTCCATCCCCTTCCTTTCTGTGATGGATTGTCACCCTTGGTCCATTTATACCCAATGACTCTTCACAGCTGTTGCAAAAATATCAAAACATTCTTAAGATAATTGGTAATTCTTAAAATGCCCATGCATAACTGGTCATTGCTACCAAAATCATTTCTACCTGTGTCTCCAAAATTATCAGCATGTATGTACCATTATTACATGTATTTAAACTGGTACTGTGGCAATGACCAGCAAGTAATGGGAATTGCCAAATAGTTGCACATTTCATGATGTCAGAGTATGTTTCTCCGATGACTGGTTTTCTATAAATATCCAGATAGCAAAGGAAACAGCTCAAATATTTTAGTGAAGTGAAAGTTAAAAATCTAATTTCTCTTTGCAATATTGGTGTTGGATTATTGAAATGAGTCAACCCTGAACCAAATGTTGTAGGTTTTCTCTGGGTACTACGGTTTCCTCACACGGGAAGAAAAATCTGTTTGAAAAAGGTGTCCACTTTCATGACCATTTGACTGGCACTGCATGCATTTACTGTTGAGCTACAGACAAGGGATTCAAAGCAATACATTTTGCCAGAACTAATTATTTGCACATTCAGCTTTTTATTTTCTTGTCTCGATCAATCTGCAGGCAAAAATCATTGCATACAACACAAATATGATGATATGGACATCAACTGACATCTTGTTGTTTTTTTAAAGAAATACAATGGTTTACATAGGTTATGATGTTAGGTAAAAATTATACTATATATATACAAATTAGCATAATATATCTAACCCAGAATAAGAACATCTATACAATGTGAGAGGTGCAACTTTAAATAATAACAACATAGTGTTGATTTGTAGATGTATATGTTGTAGTTTTCTGTATAATTGTATTAATATATTCTATATTGTGATTAACATTTTTTGTATATACTTTGTTTTGACTAAATGCATCTGATTGGTTTAATTTTTGTCACATGATCAATAAACCTCATATAATTTTCCAGACCCCACAACAAACTTCACGACGAAGGGCCTTCGCTCGAAACATCAAAGTTTATCCTTGTATTTTTCAGGTAGTTGCAAAACTTGATGGGGGGGGGGGTTATTGGGGGTGTGTGTCCAGAAAAATTTTTCACCCCCCCCCCCATTTTTGGGGAAAATAGTGGCCAGAAATAAAAAATTGCTGCAGGGCATCATCAGTTTTGGCAGGGTAATTCTGGCAGACACCCCCCAAATTAAAAGGGGCTAGTTTTGCCCCGGCTACCAAACAAAGCTTCAAATGATTCTACTATGCATTGTGTGTGACATAATAAATACATTTAGCACTTTACTGGGAATCTTTAAACTCCAGTGTTTTGTGACTAAAAATATTTGTAGATTAATTTTATCACTTGAGATAAATCCTGATCACTAGGGTCGACAGACTGTGCACGTTAAACAGTTACTGTTAGACTGGCTACAATTTGCTGCTGTTGTCGCATGAACATTTCTTGGTTGTTTGCTTACAAAACCACTTTCGTCCTTGCTATTGAATTTTTGAACCTAAATAATTAGCTGTAGAAAAAGAAAATTAAAAGGTAGGTTTAATCATTAGTTAGATTAATATGTGAGAGGTCTTAGACTACTACATCAAAATTATTGAGTGAAACTTTACAAACATTTATTAGACCTAATCAGGAACGACTGCGAGAAAAGCAACTATAGGTCAATGGCAGGAATTGAACCTGCAGCCATGCTGCAGTGCTTTAATGGATTAAGGCCTGTTCATGTATTACTGTATATTACATAATATAATAGTTAAGGTACTATATACATATATACTAAGGTACTGCCATGACCCTAACCCATAAGAGAGCTCGACAACTGGCCTCTGTTGATTAGAGTGCGCACTGGAATCGCAGGTCTAATTCCTGCCAGGGACCTACAGTTGCTTTTTTCACAGCTGTTCCTAATTGGTTAGGTGTAATAAATGTATATAAATTTCCACTCGAAAATTTCCATGTACAAGACCTTTCAACTATTATTCAATGAGTGAGATGTCAAAAGAATCTCTTAGAATAATATATAGTGTCCTAAACAACTGAGCTATAGCACTCTGTCCAAATGGACTCTGTCCAATGTCGAGCTCTAACCACAAATATACTCAGTCTGGTAACTGCCCTGTCAAGGTATCAGTAAATATTAATATGTTTTAAAGGTTATAGGTTTCAATTTTGGTATTTACCGATACTAACACAGCAGTACCCAAGTATACAAACATGAACTCCAGCTTGACAACTGGACTCTGTAGCTCAGTTCTGTTGGTTAATAGAATTATGCTGCATGCACCAGAATTGCAGGGCCGCAGGCGAGATTTCAACCAGAGGATACAATAATATTCAAAGTGTGTGAGCGACTAGCAGTCGAGATGTACGTTCATATACCATGTGGTATTTTCATGATGCTTTCTGAGTTCACTAATTTTGAAGATTTTGATAATCCTGAGCAGTATATATTGCATTTTTGTTCTCCTCTTCAACTGCCAACAGCCTAACTGTGTCTTTCGCATATACTTTTCAACATCGAATATTTTATTGCGTGCATGCCTTTGTAAAAGGTATAATATTATCTTTTCTAGCACATTTTGTCAAAAACAAAAAACAAACGATTTTTAATAGGTATCTTGACTTGTATTGCATTCAAAAATGAAATTAAAATAACACTGTAGAAAGAATCCTATACAAGCCGAAGTTGTTGCATTTTCACGACTTGATGCGAAAGTCGCCATTTCCCTAAAATGCCCCAAACAACAAGCGCTCCTGTTGCAAACATTCCCCGTAACCATGGTAATCTAGATATCATTTTGATCCCCGAGACACGCTCCGTTTCCCTGTTTACCTTAAATAACCCTCACGGAAAACGCGCACAAGCACGCGCTCGTTGAATTTGAGGAATTTTTCAATTATCAAATTCGATACCAAGCTTCCAAATTTGTCGCGCGGTAGCGAAAAAAATTGACACAGTTTAATGTGCAATTTCGCGTGCAAAAATGTCAGGCGTGAGGTGTTTATGACGTCGATAGTGGACGACATAAACACGATCAACCTTGGTGTATATGACGTCGATATTCGACGTCATAAACACGACCAACTTAGGTGTTTATGACGTCGACGTCATAAACAAGATCAACTTAGGTGTTGATGACGTCGATATTCGACATCATAAACGCGACCAACTTAAGTGTTTACGACGTCGATGTCATAAACACGATCAACTTAGGTGTTTATGACGCCGATATTCGACGTCATAAACACGATCAACTTTGGCGTTTATGACGTCGATATTCGACGTCATAAACACGATCAACTTAGATGTTTATGACGTCGATATTCCACATCATAAACACGATCAACTTTGGTGTTTAAGACGTCGATATCCGACATCCTAAACACGATTAACTTTGGTGTTTATGACGTCGATATTCGACATCATAAACACGATCAAGTTTGGTGTTTATGACGTCGATAGTCGACGTCATAAACACGATCAACTTTGGTGTTTATGACGTCGATATTGGACGTCATAAACACGATCAACTTAGGTGTTTATGACGCCGATATTCGACGTCATGAACACGATCAACTTTGGTGTTTATGACGTAGATATTCGACGTCATATACACGATCAACTTAGATGGTAATGACGTCGATATTCGACGTCTTAAACACGATCAAATTTGGTGAATATGACGTCGATATTTGACGTCATAAACATGATCAACTTTGGTGTTTATGACGTCGATATTCGACGTCATAAACACGATCAACTATGGGGTTTATGACGTCGATATTCGACGTCATAAACTCGATCAGCTTTGGTGTTTATGACGTCGACATTCGACGTCATAAACACAATCAACTTAGGTGTTTATGACGTCGATATTGAACGTCTTAAACACGATCAACTTTGGTGTTTATGACGTCGATATTGGACGTCATAAACACGATCAACTTAGGTGTTTAAGACGACGATATTCGACGTCATAAACACGATCAACTTTGGTGTTTATGACGTCGATATTCAACGTCATAAACACAATCAATTTAGGTGTTGATGACGTCGATATTCGATGTCATAAACACGACCAACTTAGGTGTTTATGACGTCGACGTCATAAACACGACCAACTTAGGTGTTTATGACGTCGATATTCGACGTCATAAACACAATCAACTTAGGTGTTGATGACGTCGATAATCGATGTCATAAACATGACCAACTCAGGTGTTTATCACGTCGACGTCATAAACACGACCAACTTAGGTGTTTATGACGTCGATATTCGACGCCATCAACACGATCTACTTTGGTGTTTATGACGCCGATATTCGACGTCATAAACATGATCAACTTTGGTGTTTATGACGTCGATATTCGACGTCATAAACACGATCAACTATGGGGTTTATGACGTCGATATTCGACGTCATAAACTCGATCAGCTTTGGTGTTTATGACGTCGACATTCGACGTCATAAACACAATCAACTTAGGTGTTTATGACGTCGATATTGAACGTCTTAAACACGATCAACTTTGGTGTTTATGACGTCGATATTGGACGTCATAAACACGATCAACTTAGGTGTTTAAGACGACGATATTCGACGTCATAAACACGATCAACTTTGGTGTTTATGACGTCGATATTCAACGTCATAAACACAATCAACTTAGGTGTTGATGACGTCGATATTCGATGTCATAAACACGACCAACTTAGGTGTTTATGACGTCGACGTCATAAACACGATCAACTTAGGTGTATATGACGTCGATATTCGACGCCATCAACACGATCTACTTTGGTGTTTATGACGCCGATATTCGACGTCATAAACACGATTAACTTTTGTGTTCATGACGTCGATATTCGACGTCATAAACACGATCAACTTTGGTGTTTATGACGTCGATATTCGACGTCATAAACGCGATTAACATTGGTGTTCATGACGTCGATATTCAACGTCATGAATACGATGAACTTTGGTGTATATGACGTCGATATTCGACGTCATAAATACGACCAACTTAGGTTTTTATGACGTCGACGTCATAAACCAGATCAACTTAGGTGAATATCGACGTCATAAACACCAAATCGAATATCGACGTCATCAACACGACCAACTTATGTGTTTACGACGTCGATATCATAAACACGATCAACTTAGGTGCTTATGACGTCGATATTCGACGTCATAAACACGATCAACTTTGGTGTTCATGACTTCCATATTCGACGTCATAAACACGATCAACTTAGGTGTTTATGACGTCGATATTCGACGCCATCAACACGATCTACTTTGGTGTTTATGACGCCGATATTCGACGTCATAAACACGATTAACTTTTGTGTTCATGACGTCGATATTCGACGTCATAAACACGATCAACTTTGGTGTTTATGACGTCGATATTCGACGTCATAAACGCGATTAACATTGGTGTTCATGACGTCGATATTCAACGTCATGAATACGATGAACTTTGGTGTATATGACGTCGATATTCGACGTCATAAATACGACCAACTTAGGTTTTTATGACGTCGACGTCATAAACCAGATCAACTTAG